CATCCCCTCACCCCCAGCCTGAGCTGGCACCAGGGTTTGTCCCAACCAACCTGCCCCACCCCAGGTGCAGGACCTTGCACTTGGCCTTGTTGAACTGCAAGGTTCTGGTCTGTCCTAGTCCCTCTGGATGACATCACTTCCCTCCACCACAGTGACCTCACCACTCAGCTTGGTGACACCCACAAACTTGTTGAGGATTCCTTCAACCCCACTGTCCATGTCACCCACCATGATTTGTTCCCCATGAGAGTGGGGAGACCCTGGAATGGGTTGCCCAGGGAGGGGGTTGAGGCCCCATCCCTGGGGGTCTTTAAGGCCAGGCTGGAGGAGGCTCTGGGCAGCCTGATCTAGTGGGAGGTGTCCCTGCTCATGGCAGAGGGGTTGGAACTGGGTGATCCTTGTGGTCCCTTCCAACCCTGACAGATTCTGATCTGTTTTAGCAGAGGATTTTAGAGCCCTAATGGCTCAATGGTTGGACTTGATGATCTTAAAGGTCTCTTCCAACCTAAAGGATTCTATGATTCTATGATTTCAAACAGTGCTGGGCAAAGCTGTTAAACAGCACTGCCAAGATCTCCTTGCCATGAAGCTGCTTCTTGCCATAAATCCCTGCAAGCTCCGTGGTGATTTTCACATACCCCTACAGGAGCCACCGTGCAAGCTGCACACACAGGCTGGCTCAAAGAGTTCTAACGTTGCCATGGCAGCCTCCAGACTACTTTGTTAAGCCATTAGCACTTTGGAAGATAGCCCGGCAGTATCAGTATCGTGCCATGCTAATGCCACTGGACCCACTCCAAGTCCTGCCACAGGCACAGGAGAGGACATGAAAGGGAATGGGAGAAAAATGTGGATATTTTATACTAAAAAACCTGTCAAGGAAAAAAAAAAGAATGTAAAGTAATCCAAAGATTTGGGAGATGAAGAGGGGAAGAGAGAAAGTTACCAAAGCCTCAGAGACACAGGAGAGGACACCAGGATGTGTTTCCCTTATCACAACAGTCCAATGTAAAATGTTTTGCTTAGATTTCAGTGTTTTGTTGCCGTGGCTTTGCAGCCAAAATGTTGCACTACTGAGCTGCAATATAGACACTGAATGTAAAATGGACTAATTATCCTCATTTAATGGAAAACAAAACATAAGCCAATTTAATCATTTGTTTTTACTGAATTTTTTCTTTGTCAGTACCTCAGTGCTTCTATGACAGGTAATTACTGCATGCCATGAACATTAGATTTCACTAGGTTTTTGGCATTTTAAGACCATACTGTTAATTTAAAATGACTTCAACTTCAGCTTGTTACAAAATCATAATTTCAACATTTCATTCACAATACTTCTGAATTTATAACATTTTTATTTATCACATAATTTGGGATGCACTTTTAGTTATGACTTCTTGACACTCCTTACAGTTATGTGCCAGTATCTGGACTGCTGGGACTGAAGGAAGTTGCTTTTTAACTGGCCTACCTCTACAGAAGAAACCCAGAGTTTTTGGAAGCCATTCCAAGGTTGAATTCAGCTCAGTGAAGTGATATATATATAAAATTACCCTCAAAACATACATGCAACAGGTTTTAGCATGTGAAGATCAGTGAAGTTCAGCTCTGTCTGGATCAAGCCAGCCGAGGGGCAGAGGTTTAGCCCTGACAAGAGCTGAACTGGACCCACTGGGTGGGGGCAGCACTTGCCACAGGACCTTGCCCAGGAGTCTCATCAGCTTCACGAGAGCTGCATGTGTGAGGTTGGACCTCTGCTGACTGACAGACTCAAACTTTTTTCAATAAAAATTCTAAAAATATTCAGCAAATTTCTGTTTACAGACTTGCTTTTTTTAATTGCCAGTACAGTAATTCCCAAATTCAAGGAATCCTTAAAACAGAAATCAAAAATCTACTGAGTTATCACTCAACATTTTCACAAAGAAATATCAAAGTATTACATCCCATGATTTATTGAAATGTCTTAAATACACCTGGAATCAACTCCTGTAGGGTTTGAAAGTCTTCTTTAAAAAAATTATCTGTTACCTGACAACTCTCAGAGGTGCTTCTTGCCTCCCAGTTCCTCACAGGAATGTTTTGCTTCCACCACATTACACATTTACTTGTTCCTAATAGAAATGGTTTTGACTCAAATTTAACCAAATGAAAAAGCAAAAAGATGCTGGTGTACCTTGGGTGTGCTTCCTTTAATGAACTTTTTGATTGAAGACAACAAGCCTGTTTCATTTTTCTGTGGTTTTCCCCCACCCACAGGTAAGCTCTCCTCCACCTCCGAGTGTTTCCTCTTCGCCCTCAGAGCACGTTGTGTGTGGATTTGATTCGACTGCTGAGAAGCTTTCCGCGTTCTCAGCCTCATCTTCATGTGTGCCACATGTAAAGCTATAAAGGGAAAAAGGAGAATACTTAGTCATTGAAGAAATGCATTGAGCTTCAGATCAGGAATTCCAAAACTCCTGTAACACCGCGAGCGCTCTGCCGCACCGAGCTCCTCATCCATCTGTAGGCTTCATTTACATCCAGGAGAAGAGGTGTTGAAGTTCAAGTGTAAGACTGGCAGAACAAATGAACAGAATCTGGCCTAGCCATTAGATCCATGAGGTTTTTGCATCGCCCTCTGATCCAAGTAGTAGGAACAAAAGATCCACCTGCTTTTAAGATGAAAGGGGTCGTTACGGTGCCTGGTGTCTGCAGCATGGGGTGAGTAGAGCTGGTGACCCAGGCAGCCCCTCCCAGCTCTGTGTTCCTCAGCCCTTCATTCTAGCTCTCCACATTAAATCTGAGATCAGGCATAGCTCTAAATCCATGTCAAGTGTTCTCAGAAGGAGAAATCATAAAGGAGACTATGTATTCAATCTGGGTGAGGATAGAGCAGCTCAGCACAGGACCCGCAGACTGACCTTCGATACAACTGTATTTGGGGAGAAGATCAGAGCACAGGAAGACTAATGCAAGGGCAGTATTTATTGAAATAGAGCAAAAGGCTGTTCCCAGGAATGTGTCCCATTTATCCCCGACCTCCAACTGGACTGCTGGTATAGCTGAATTTGTACATAAATAGCACTGCTGTTCTGGACCAAGGGCTGTGCCTTCTGCAGCTCCTGCAGGGCTGGATCTGAATGGGACTACTCATGGGCTTGAAATTCTGCATGTATTGGACCAGGAGCAGAAAAAAGAAGTGACAAGCAATCCACCCGAGCTGTAATGCACAGAAATACAGGTGAGAAGCAATACACATTCCCTAGCTGAAGTCATGACAAAACTCATCATCTTTTTATAAAAAAAGCATGTGCTTATCATGACAGGAATTTGATCTTCTGAAGTTCATTTTGCATGTGTCTCACTGCTGAATAGCCAGAATAATCTGTACATTTTACAGAACCACAGACTAATTTGGGTTGGAAGGGATCTCAGAGATCATTCAGTTCCAGCCCCCCTGCCATGGGCAGGACACCTCCCACCAGACCAGGTTGCTCCAAGCCCCATCCAACCTGGCCTTGAACACCTGCAGTGCTGGAACATCCACAGCTTCCCTGGGCAACCTGGGCCAGTGTCTCAGCACCCTCAGAGTGAAAAACTTCTTCCTTACATCTAATCTAAATCTCCCCTCTTCCAGTTTGAACCCATCACTCTTCATCCTAGCACTACAAGCCCTTGCAAAAAGTCCCTCCCCAGCTTTCTGACAGGCCCCCTTCAGATACTGAAAGGCCACCAGAAGGTCTCCCTGGAGCCTTCTCCTCTCCAGGCTGAACAAGCCCAGCTCTCTCCTGCTGGCCTCCCAGCAGAGGGGTTCCAGCCCTTGTATTTCCAATGTGACATCACAACTGCTGTCTTGGTTAGGAAAAGGCTGTGGTGGCACTCGTGTGATTCCCAGACACAGAAATACCATGATAATAGTTTTCTAAACAAGTCCAAAACCTGCAGACACCTGCATTTGTTCACAGTTGGTTAAATCTCAATCCCAAATGCAAGGTGTTCCAGCTAACGAGGAATAACATATCTCCTGACACTATTTTTAGAAGACTTAGCAAAAAAATTCTCAATTGGGATTGTCAAAAGTGCAATATTTTAGTTACCTATGATATTTAACTGCCAGCAAACACAGGCTTTCATTATTCATACGCACACGTCCAGCATTTGCCATCAGCAGTTGACAACAACTGTTTGCAGACAGGAAGAGGGCAGGATTCTGGAATGACTGCAGGAACTACAGCAGAAGTGGATCCATATGTGAGGTTTAAGGAAAGGCAACAGAAACTGCAGCCAAAGTTTAAAAAACCTGGTTCCTTATAAGCTTGCGCCCTCTAGTAACAGAAGCATTACAACTCCAAGTCCAGGGAAGCATCCTTTTGTTATTCATATTTGCAATAAAGTTTGCATTCTGTTTAAAAATCTACTGTATGTGAAAAAAAGTAACACAGATAATGAGAAAAATGCCCAGAGATTTTAATCCAATCTTCTGTTCCTGTTCCTTGCCACTAGAAATATAGAAGGATGAAAATAACACTAAGATGTAAAATGAACGTGCCTGTTATCAGAACATCTCAACTTCTCTTTCCTATAAACTGCTGCCAGATTAAATTTTGGGGTAGGATTTGCAGTGGGAAGGATCCCCAACAACAGCCCTATGCTCCTATTGTACTTCTGGATAAATCAGGAGGACCCAAATATAAAATTAAAGACATAATCAAACACACAGGATGGTCCAAGAATACCTTAAAACATGTAACATTTTCACAGAAATCCTGAGGAATGCTTTGGACTTTGACTAAAAATCATGGACTTTTAAGCTAGCACGTACCAAAACCATGTTACACTTGGAGGCTGAATAAAAAGAACAGTTTCATTTAAGGTTTCTTAGTGTTCTCATATGTGGGAGATGAGCTAATTCACAACCCTAGCAGGAGACACAGCCCAAGACAGAAAATGGCTAGCAATGTTTTAAACCAAATAGTTTAAATATATCAATGTTTCCAGTAGTTACCAATTTGTTGGAATGAAGTTAGAGAAAAACAATACTGGTTTGCCACGTTAAAAGTATTCGTAAAGATCTCCAAGGAGCTCTAGTCCTTCTAGGCTTTGAAAAGGGAATTTTATTAGCAGTACTGTAAATAATAATAAATCATTATTGTTTAGGAATTAATTTGGTTGAATTGAGATTCTTCCATCTGTACATTGCAAGAACACAGGCATTAGATGCCAGGCAGCACTGCCAGGTCCCCACTGCCCCGTGTCCCTCACACCACATCTCCACAGCTTGGAAACCCCTCCAGGGGTGGGGACTCCACCACTGCCCTGGGCAGCCTGGCACAGCCCTGGGCACCCCTCCAGGGGAACAAATTGTTCCTCAGGGACAACCTCAGCCTCCCCTGGGGCAACTTGAGGCTGTTCCCGCTTGTCCTGTCCCTTGTTCCTTGGGAGCAGAGCCCGACCCCCCCCTGGCTCCAGGCTCCTGTCAGGAGCTGTGCAGAGCCAGAAGGTCTCCCCTGAGCCGCCTTTGCTCCAGGCTCAGCACCCCCAGCTCCCTCAGCTGCTCCTCCCCCCACTTGGCCTCTAGACCCTTCCCCAGCAGCTTCGTTGCCCTTCTCTGGCCACACTCCAGCCCCTCAAGGTCCTTCTGGGAGGGAGGGGCCCAAATCTGGCCCCAGGATTTGAGGGGCAGCCTCCCCAGTGCCCAGTCCAGGGGGACAACCCCTGCTCTGCTCCTGCTGGCCACACCAGTGCTGATACAAGCCAGGCAGGTGGTAGGCTTCTTGGCCTCCTGGGCACATGTTAACTCATTTCCATCCACCTGTTGACCAACCTGCCCAGGGGCCTTTCCAGCCACTCTTCCCCCAGCCTGGAACACTGCAGGGGGTTGTTGTGACCCAAGGGCAGGACCCAGCCCTTGGCCTTCTTGAACCCCATCCCACTGGCCTCAGCCATTGATCCAGCTTGGCCAGACCCTTCTGTATTGCACAAGAAGAGGAGACCCCAACCTCAACACCAAAGCTGGGGCCTGAGCCTTGCTGTTCTTCAGCCTCTTCTACATAGCAATGCTCTTGTGCCACTTATAACTGTGGTTTCAAGTTAACCCAGCTACAGACACTCATTTTCCATCCCCTGTGCTGTGAGCTCTCTGGAAAGACCATACCAGACAGGCCTGGAGCAGTCAGGACTCCCTAAAAGATATATGTTGAGTATATAAACAGACAAGTGAGATTCTTAATTCTCATTTACCTAGTTCAAAAAAAAAAACTGAAAGAAGAAAGTTAGACTGAACTAAGGTTTTTGCTTGACAGTGGTTAACCATTTCCTGTGGGAAATCAGGAATTAAGTCAATGAACACTAAAATCTAGTGGGAGTTAGTATATTCAAAGATGTAAACCACATTCATTAAAACGTTACCAATACATTTTGAAAAACTGGAAATCATCCTGCAGTGTGACATTATTCATCAGCAGCCTTTCAGACGGGCTGGTGAGGAATCCCCAGTGGGTGCCATTTCCTGGGCAGGAATCAAGCTGGACTCCACTAAACCCACCTCTGGGTAAAAAGGAGTCAGACAAGTGTAAAACATTGACAGAAGGTGGGCACCAGTGAAATTCCAAATTGAGAACAAAGGTATTACTTAAAATTTGCTGCGCTACAAGTTGCCTGATTTTTCTGCAACTGAAACACACACTAGACATACAAAAGATGAAGGAATTTAATGTTTGGGAGTATATGTTCCTCCAGCAAGGAACCATTCAACTCATCTGCACGCTACTGCCAGAGAGTTCTCTGGCTCATTTCACAGCCTGGTATCAGGCCTGGGGTTATAAATATCTCTAATGGACTTAGCAAGAGTCACCTACAACCCTCTCTGTGACAGAAGTTTCCCAATGCTTGGCACATTTGGCAGCAGACAGTTTTCACTTGAATTATATTTGCATTTCTTCTCTGAAACAAGCACAAACCACACGGCAAACCTTAACACGCTCTCACTGTCACAAGAGTCAAGCCTGGACTCGTGTGTGGATTTCCTTCCTCATACCCACACACTGGGCTGCCTCCAAGGGGGGAGACGTGACTTCGGGAGGACCGTGCCCCCGGGGCCCTGGCTGGGCCACCTCCAGCAGGATGGACGGCCCCGGTCACGCTGGGGCCGTGGGTGGGATTACACAGGACAATCCTCACCAGCTCCTGCTCTTTAATTCGCTTCTCAGGGGATTCTCTTTCAGGAGCTTGCAGCTCAAAATCCTCTCTCAGTGTAATTCCCTCTCAGCTGAGAGGCCGATTCCGCAGCGTTAGCGCCGTGAGTTCAGGGCCAGCTGCACACAGGGGTGCAGAGAGAGCCAACGCCTCGAGCCCCACGCTGTGGCTCTGCCCTGTGTACCTGCCAGGTCTGGAACCCCCA